TCTTTGTGGTTTTGTCTAGGGCTGCATCTGTAGCAAACACCTGTTTCTCCCATGGAGGAAAGGCTGAGTTTGACCAGGAAACCCAACATTTTTCCAAGCAGCAAAACAGAACAGGAATTGTGAAAATTGTGGCAGATACACAAATGAAAAATTCCAGCGTCCTGAAAATAGGAGAGGAAAAAACCCCACTAAGAAGCCCTGGTGTAAATTCTCCCACTTCTTCTGCCTTTTAAAATTTAAATAATTTAAAAAATGAATTTCAACTTCATTAAGTTAGCAGCTGCTCATTCCAGAATTTACCATTAAAAAAAATCGTTTTGCATCTCCTGTTGGAAGAATTAAGAGGAAGTCGCTCCTGGACTAACTGGTGAACCCATAGATTCTTATATTTTGGGATTTTGAGTTTTCTATACAGTCAGAGATACTTGGAGGAAATATTTATTTACTGTATTTATTTGAATGTATAACTGTAACTCTAATGGGAAACTTAAAGCAAAGAGTACAGTAGGAAACTCTCCTTCAGGTTAAATTGCCTGCAAATACTTGAAGTATGTAGCTGGTCACACTAATTACTAATGTCTACAGTAACCAAAAGTTTTTTCTTCTTCTGATGTGAAAAGGAAATGCACAAGAGTTTACACACAGCCCCACACCATGATTTATGTTTTCAAGATTTTAGTATTTTCCTGCTTTTTAAAAATAAAGCAAACAAAAAAAAAGATGTTCACCTGCAAAGACAATTTTTTAAAATGCAGCGGGGGGGGGGGCAATCTGTGCGTTTCTAAATTCAGCTAGAGAGTTGCGTAGGAATTGATTTCTATGGCAAACCCTTTCCTTCTTTCACATTAAACGACGGGGGGGGGGGGTAGCAACAGGCTTGGGTAATGGAATCAGCTGATTTCAAATCAAAACTGAAACATTTCATTTGGAAGGTTGAGCTTAAGGAGAGGTTTGGTGTTAATTCGCCAAATGAAAAGCTGTGTCTTCCCCCAGAGTGTGATCTGAGGGCAGGCAGCCTGGTTTGTGGTAAAATCCTGGACCATTCAACATTAATCCTGTCTGGTACAATGGTTTGAGATCCTTCCGAGCTTTTCAGCCAAAGATGCAGATATAATAGCAATAAGAGAGGGTTTTCTTTCAGCACCGTGATGCCTGGCTAAGGTTAATATAAGGTTAATATAAAATGCACCAGGTCAGCGTTGGGAGAATTCTGGTTGTTGGCTTAAAGTCACCGAGGTTGAGATATATTGCTCTAAATGACTAATGAATAAATAGCCCCAAAATTTTAACAGTGTCCACATCCACAAAATCTTACTCAGAAGCCCACCTTGAACTTTCCCATTCCAATGTAAAGGCAGTAGAAATTGTTTTCCACTTCATATAAGAAAGTTCATAGAACTGAGACCTGGTATTATTTAATCAACTGGTTAATATTAAGCAGCATTTTCCCTTTCCCACTTTTTCTTAGGAAAGATGCCACAGATTACAAAGGGGGGGGGCTGGGTCTTACAGTCCTGGTTGCTACTTTCTCTAAAGAATCGCGAAGAATATTTTAAGAAGGCAAAAAGCTCACATGATTTGGGTCATTTACGCTACATTCATAAGTCCATTTGCCTGGGAATAAGGCCCACTTATTTTTCAGTGCAGTTCACTTCTGAGTAGAAAGATCGGGGCTTGTGGTAGCTCCACCTTTTTGAATGTATAAGTTTGGAACAAGAGGGGGTCTTTATTACAGAATTCCCTCTATGAACATTTAGTTGGGAGTAAATGCCATTCAGCTCAAGGGGATTTGTAATGAAACAAAACTAAGCTTGCCCTCTAAATGGATTGCATTTGCACTGTAACAAGATAAGAATTTGACGGGTTTTAGAGTCACAGGTTGCCCATAAATGCAAGGAGCTGCAGGGTTCATTTACACACACACACACACACACACACACACACACACACACACACACACACACGATCTCGTATCAACACAATGAAAACAAGAGTGCTAGTGTCAAGAATGAATTCATTAAAAGGGGTTAGTTATCCTCTCTTCCACATTGGAGTTGTTTTATTCTGTTCAGAGAAAAGAGAAATATAAGACAAAGGTGACTTTTTAAAAATGTATTTTAAACAGGCAAGTAGAGAGTGCCAGTTTGGTGTATTGGTTTAGGCATCTGGTTAGAAATCGAGAGACTGTGACTTCTAGTCCCAGCTTAGGTGCAAAGCCAGCTGAGTGACCTTAGGCCAATGTTATAGTTACAACTATAGCAGTCTCTTCGTCCAAAACATCTACAAAAAAAGGTCCCTTTTCCACAGCGCGGGGGGGGGGAACAAACCATCTTAGAAAATTGCGGAACAAGACGACTCAGATAAACCCAGCCCCTTCTTGCACTCAAAGCACTTGTAGTGGTGGCGAAGAGAGTGGCGGTGGGTCATCAGCCCCTCACCGGCAGGGCGATATCTCGCGAGGGGGGGGGGAGGAGAGGGAGAGGGAGGGGAGAGGAACTGCGACCCGCTGGCAAAGTATAGAAAGCTAAGGTGCTTGGGAAGAGGGGAAGTTCTAACCTGTTTCCGAGAGGGAAAGTATGGGCCAAACTGTCCTAAGCAGAAAGAAAACGAAATAAAGTAAGGAACAGGAGTTCTGAGTTTGTGGAGGTTGCTTTAAGGCAGGGGTCCTCAACCTTGGCAACTTTAAGACTTGTGGACTTCAACTCCCAGAATTCCTCAGCCAGCTTTGCTGGCTGAGGAATTCTGGGAGTTGAAGTCCACAAGTCTTAAAGTTGCCAAGGTTGAGGACCCCTGCTTTAAGGAGAGACCAGAGCCCTGAGGGTGTGTGTGTGTGTGTGTGTGCGCGCGCGCGCGCCCTTCACCTCCTCCCATCCAAAACTGCCAAGTGTCCCGCCAACTCCCTTTGGTTTGCCTGGAAAGAGTGGCTGAAGGCAGCTGCCCAGAAAAACGACCCTCCCTTTCCTGGAAAGACCCCGTGACGGAGTTTGGATGAAGTGCGGGTAGAGTTGTCCTACTTTCAAATACTTTTATGTGGTGACACAGCCTCGCCGGCTATTTCTATAGCAATATATTAGCAAAGGAAGGTATATTCAGCAATTGGCTTTAGATACGGATCTTGCGGCCCGAATGTGAGCAAATCGAGTTCCTTTGCAGACTATACACGGGAGTGCACCTATAATTGTGTGTTCGCTTATTTAAGCCCTTGCGTTTGTAAATTTCTTGAGAATAAGGAAACAAACATTAAATAAATGGACGGGGTTAGTCTGCTTGCTTTTTCCAACAGATTTTCACACTGGCCCTTGGATTATCTACATACAAATTCATACATACACTAATATTCAAAGCAAAGTTCAGTAACAGAATTCAAACCAAACGTGCCCCACCCCTCATTAAATCTGACGCTTCTATTTCCAAATGTAAGCTACCTTTGGATCTAAACTACAGAGGCGATTTGGTTTCAAGGAAAAAGTAAACAAATAATTCATGTGGGCAATTAGATCCCCGGTATTTTTACTTAGCAGCAATGTGCCCTCATTTATATTTGCCTGTTCTATGCTCAGTATAGTTAAATACACGGTCTGGAGGAAATGAGGCTGCAATCTTATTCCAATCTTATTCCCGTGCAATCCGGAATAAGTCTCATGAAATCTTGCTTATGCCCAAGTAAAACTGCAAAGCACCTAGCTGTTCCTTTCTTTGTTTCCTTGCCTTGTTCGGCTCTATAAATCCTAGAAAAGGGAAGCTTAATAGAATTGATTTGCATTTTGAGGATCTCATGCAATGTTATTCAGGCAGGATATACCAGCGAAATATTAGGTAGGTTAAGTCATATTTTAAAATTTAGCTAGCTGTCAGGAACTTTTATGAACGCTGGTCTCAATCATTTTGGAAGTTTTTCTTTGTTTGCTTTTTTCTTCTCCCTCTTGAGCCTGGCACACACAATTGTTACTTAGTGGGGGGGGGGGAATGAAGCTGAGCACTCAGAGCTATTGCAAGAATTAGCCTTTCTTTCTTCAGACATTTTACACGTCTACATTAATCCTTTATCACCTCTTTTCCCTACTTACCCACATGGGAATGCAGAGGAAATATCCTGCATATTCCAAGGGAGATATTTTTGTTACATTCTTCATACTTCAAAGGACATTACTGATTCTAACCCTCCACCACATCTACACGATACGCGCGCGGGCCTAAGAGTGTTTCCAGCAAGGAGACATTCACAACCTTATCCACATCTATTTCTTTTTCAGAAAGATTGTATGGTTCCTATAACACTAACTAATGTGCAAACGCGTTTTGTGGTCTTGAAGCCGAAGGAAATTACTCCACTAGATTCCTCTGATTTTTGGAAACTGCGGACAACGCTAAATGCACCAGTAAATAAGTGGACCCAGGGCTACCGTCCACGGAGAGGGTAGCTTACGTTCTCCACCAGATATCAGAAACGCTTACTTTAAAGGCGGACGCGTTGAATTAACCTGCCCCTGAAATTCTTTCCCCAAAATAACTGGGGACTTTTGGAATCTGCCATCCCCCTGGCCTAGGAAGGTCGAAGAAACGGCGAGGACCGTAATGACAAATCAGGGCTTTTTGTCTCAACTTAAAGAGTTTTGAGACCGCAGGCAAACGACTTCGTCCCCTTCCTCCTCACCCCTTCCCAGCGAAGCCGCATTTTGGTACCCCGGCTCCCTCTGAGAGTTGTGAATTGTCGGGCTGTTGAGGGGATCGGTCGATGTTCCGAACTCTTCAGAGGCTGAATTCCGACCGGCCCGATTCCTTCTCTGGCACACGCCCGTCTGGAAGGATTGGCCGGACAAGCGGAGTAGAGCTGCCGTCCAAAGAGTCGCTCGCAGCCCCCACAGCGCCACTTTCCCCGTCTGATTAGCTTGCCCCTCTCCGGTGTATGCGTGTGTGGGAGGGGGGAGCGCCACTTCTCTGCAGGTCAACCAGCTTCATTCCGAACACCGGGGGGGGGGACTCCCCGGAGGGCGACTTACCTTCCGGGAAGACCGCTCTCATTTTCAGGTAGCTGGTGGTGAGGCGGATGACGGACGCCTTGTCCAGCTGGGAGGTGATGGCCGAGGGCAGGGGCAGCAGCTTGGCCAGCTCGTAGAATTCGCCGTTCTCCTTTTCCCGCCGCGTCTTGGCGGCGTTCTTGGACTTCTCCTTCATCGCGGCTCCGGCAGGGCGACGGCCGGGGCGTCACTGGCATACTAGAGCCCCGGGCGGAGGCGACGGCGGAGATACCGGAGGGGTGCCAGGCAGGCGGACTTTGACTCGGGCCCGCGGAGAGGCAGCCAGCCAACCAGCGTGCAACTGAGGGAGGGATGGAGGGGCAGGTCTGGAGCGGCGGCGGCGGTGCCGGCTTAGCTTGCGGGTCTCCTAACCACGAAGCAGCAGCTGTGAATTCGGCTGTCCGGGCGGCGGGTCGGCGGGACCCTCGGATGTCGCGGAGCCTCGCCTTCGTCTCTCTCTCTCTCTCCCCGCCTACTCTTCTCCAAGCTCCGTTTCCATCCAAGAAAAGCCCGTGGCCGTCACCGGGGAAAGGGAATGGGGGAGTCGCCCTGGAGCCTCTTCCCTCCCCCCCCCGCCCGTCCCCCCGACTTCAGATCCGAAGCCAAGCGGAGATTTCGAAGCACAGAAGCTCAAATCCCGTGCAACGCTCCTAGTCACTACACACACACACACACACACACACACACACACACACACACACACACACACACACACACACACACACACACACACACACACACACACACACACACTTCAAATAAGGGAACTCCTCTGGTTAGAAAATTGGCCAGCTGGCTGTGCTCTGCCTCCCTCCCTGCACAAGTGGCGGCTTGCCGTGTTGATTTTGGACCCTTTCGGCCCAAACGGATTTACGCCCTCCGGCTCCCGGGTCGGCGAATCCGAAACTCTCGAGGGAGCCGGCTTTCCGAAGGCCGCGAATCTCTCCGCTCCCACGGGGGATGGCCAAGCGATTCCTTCCACTGCGCGGTCCGAGGCAACGCCAGGATTCACCGAGGAGCGCTTCTAGTCAGCCGCCCAGCTCAAGGGAGGAGGGGTCCGGCTGCCAAAACCCCTCTTCTCTCCCCCCCCCTCCGCTGGCCCGGTCTCCAGTTCCCGGCCTGGGGCGGTCGAAGGCCCGGTTGGAGCGATTTCCCGCCGGAGCAGCTCCTCCCCCGCTGGCTGGCCGGGCTGGCAAAGAAGCTCCCAAGCGGCTGCCTCCTCAGCTCATTCCCCGCGGCAGGTTGGAAGAGACGGGAGGGGAGGGGAGGGGAAGGGAGGGCGCCTCGCGTGACGCGAGTCTCCTCCAAAGGCAGCAGCCGTAGCAGGAGCCCCTGCCTTCAGCCGCTCGCCAGAGGCTCCAGCCGGAGAAGGGGAAGAAGGGGTGGGGGGGGGGGGAGAAGGGAAGAGAGAGAAGGGAGGGGCTCCTGGCTCCTTCTCAGTGGTGTGTTTTCTTTCTGCCACAACTTCCCGGGGAGTCAAACTGGCAATTCCTGAGGCAATCTTGACATCGCCCCCCTCCTCCTCCCCAGCTTTCTGGCCGCCCTTCTTGCGCCTCAAGTGCCTCTCCCGCGGAGAGCTCCGTTGGCTTCGCGCGCTCTTCTGGCGCGGCCTGAACCGGGCTGGAGAGGGATTATGCTGGGAGAAGGCCGGAGCTTCTGAAGTCAAGCCCTTGCCTTGGTTTTGAAAGGAAGGCGGGATTTGGACCCCTCGTGCCACGGAGGCGCGGAGGCCCGCCTGCCTTGTCCCTCGACGCCTTGCAGGGCAAACGGTTGGTCTGCAAGGAAAGCGGTTGACCCCAGAAGCCCTTTCAGCCCCAGGCAGGCCGCCTCTTTTCCTGGTAACAACGAGAGAGGGCAGAGGCAGGCCCGAGTAAACACAGAATTCCACCGCCACAACAAAAATAACGTGTTCATTCGGAATATGGGCCCGGTTCAGTATGTAAACAGCGATTCAGTGGGATTTCTCTAGTGTAAAGTAAATATGCTTAAGGAATAAGCCTTGGGGTAAGGCCACTCTGAGGTGCATTTCTCCAGTAGCCTGAGGTGACTTTTCCCTCTCAGAAAGTGTCCCTTGGAGTGAACCGAACTGGCCTACCCTGCCACCCCACTTCTCCCCTTCTGAATTTATCAACTCGGAGCAAATCTTTAGAAAAACGAGATTTAAGTTTGAGGGTTAGGTTTTCTTACGACTCTGAATTGGTTTAGGATCAGGCTGCCAAATCCCCTATTCACAGCTCTGAGCGCATCCGAAGGGAGGGTTGAAATAACTTTTGAAAGAATCCCTGCCTCTTTGATTGGATTCTTCTCTCTTTATTTTGGTTGTTGGCTTACTTCTGTAATTCTTTCACTTTATTTTGGGGTGTGCGTGCGCGCGGGGTGTGGAGGGTAGTTTAGAGTTTTTCTACTTGAACAGGAGAGACGTTGGCAATATCAGCAGTTAAGGTGCGTCCCCCATCCCCACCTCTGCAGAAAGAGAAGCAGAGCCCAAGAAGCTGCAGGCTGGTCCAGCCGGAGTGAGGGCGGAGAATGGTGGACCCATTTCAGCTGAAAATGACCGCCTCCCCCTATAAGTGCTTAACCAACATTTGAGATTGGACCTCTCCCCCCCCCCCAGGAGTCCCGAGGGCTAAAGCAGAGAATTCCAAAGCGGGGGGGGCTCCAAAATGACGGGAAGGAGGCCATCACTTCCAGCCTTTTCCAGGAGTCGGGGGGGGGGGACCGCAGCTGCCAAGAGGCTGAGTTGCGCCCGAAGTACCGCCGGTTGAGGCCTGTTGCACGCATCCCCCCCCACCCCCCCACACTTTAAGTCGGAGATAGTATTCTGCCTCTCCTGCAGCTCCGGAGAAGAGGTAGGCCGGCGGAAGTCTGGAAAAGCCACTTTCCCCGTTTCACTGCACGGGAAACGGGCTGGGAACGGGGCAACCGCGGAGCAACTCTGGCGCTACGATCTGGAGGTCGACCTTCTAGAGGAGGCAGAGGAAATGTAGCCGCTCGGGCGGCGGATCAGCCGGTAGATTATACCTGGGGAGGGAAAGACAAGGCAGGCTGGGGTAGGGGAGGGAATTGTCCTCCTCGTCTTTAGCTAAAGAGGTTCCCTTCCGTCGGGCTGTTCGCGGTTCCTCCAAGTCTGCAGGGAAGGGCTTCGCCCGTTTCCCAGCTCAGAGCAAGGCCACATTCGCGCATCCAACAGAGTTCGGTTCCTGGGGATTCCGTGTGGTTAATTCCGACGGAAGGAGCTCTGATCCGAAAGGCTTGTAACTCCTCCTTGCTGCACCTGAGCTTTCTGCTCTACGCGGCGGGTCCAGCAAGAGAGCAGGACTATTTCCTTGGTTGTGAGTTGGCGGGGGAGATACGGGAGGGGTTTTTTTCTGCCTGAAATGTCTCTGTACTTCGGGAAGGGAAGCCCCACTTTCCGGTTTGCTCCGGGTCTCAAGACCTGATCCAGACACAATCGCCCACCGCAGAGTGACCACAAACCTCCAGCCTCGCCCCACTTGATGTTCCGTGGACCTCAACTCCACAGATTTGCCTACGGAATGGCGGGGTGCAAACCATTTAAGTGCACCAGCTTCGATTAATTTCTTGGTTGGCCTAAAAGCCTGACGTTACCTGGAGAAGGATGTAAACTGCGGAGGTTATATTCGGGATTAAGTAGGGGTTATTTATTTTTTATTTTTTTTTGCTCCGGATTCCATCCCCTCGACCCGCCACTGCTGCTGCAGCTGCATTTTCTGGGCCCGGGACAAAGGCTTCCCATACCCCGAACCTCCGCCTTCGTTGGAGGAAGAGTTGCAGACCATTTGTTGAAAGCCAGAGAACGGAGAAAGTCTTGCTCTGTCTCGCCTAAAGAGATTTTCCTCAAAGTTGAGTCCCTCCAGTGAGGCTGACTTCCAAGAAGTGCAACTTGATGACCCGGTTGTCTGATCTCCCCAACCTGGATTGCTGTAAATCTTCGGTCTGCAGTGAGGGTAGTAAGGACTAACTCGTGCCAATAAAGAGGGGAGTTCCTTTTCTAAACCCTCCACCTAAACCGGTCTCTCTTTCGCCCTCACGCCCCAATATACTAGTAGGTTATGGGATGTGAAAGGGGCACCTTGCATTACAATTAATTACAATGACAGTTACGGTATTGCAATTACAGCTGTGCAATTTCTACGGTTGGAGTTGCCTCCGTCAAGAGCCCCGGGTTCCGTTCTGTGGGTCCCTCCTGAGAACGGCTCCTCCCTTTGAATCGCGTTGTTATTTGATCGATTAGTCCAGGGGTCTTCAAACTTGGCCCTTTTATGACTTGTGGACTTCCAGCTGAGGAATTCTGGGAGTTGAAGTCCACAAATCATAAAAGGGCCAAGTTTGAAGATCCCTGGATTAGCCTGACCGGCTTTCCCTCATTTTAATGGCAGCTGTGAGTTTCCCCTGAGCGCTGGTCTCTTGCTGTAGTTTTTAATCCCTTCCCTAGTGGCTGCAGAATCTCACCCATCGGGACCACTTGGAGCGGGGAGCAGAGGGCTATTTTACTAGGGACCATTAAGTTTTCACAAGGGCCAACCTACTAAAAGTAGGTTTTCGGTTCCAGTCCATCCCATCAGCCTTTGGAGAAAGCATCCCAGCTGTAGAGCTTGAGCGATTCCCCTCACTGGACTGAGTGAGAGAATCGCCCCGACCTCTGGGCCCGGCCAGTGATGGTCAATGTCAGAGGTCTTCAAACTTGGCCCTTTTATGACTTGTGGATTCAACTCCCAGAATTCTGGGAGTTGAAGTCCACAAGTCATAAAAGGGCCAAGTTTGAAGACCCCTGGTCAATGTCATAGGAATCCAATGGAGTACTCTTCTGGGTCAGAATCCCCGATCTAAATAAACCTCGACTATTTTGGAGCAGAACATGTAGGGGAGACCCTCCCCCCCCACAAGAAGCTTTGGGCTGTTTATGTCGCTGGGTGGGGGAACCTCGATCGAAATCGAGTTGGTAATTGCGATTCCTCGAAATGGCTTCCCGCTTTCTCTTTTCAGGGCAAGCCCTGAACTTTCTAATAGGCGAGGGTGACTAAGCCTCTCTTTCTTATTTAATTCCTTGCAGGCATAACCGGATCCAGAAAATATTACTTGAAAGGTATGCGGAAATAAAGCCGGCAAGAGGGTTCACACTTGGATATGAAATGGGGTGCTTGTGTTTGATCGGCCCTTTTCTCTCTAATTTTCTACAAAGTCTGAAATTAAGCTGATCTTGGTCAAAAGTCCTCAGACTACTTCATAAATAAAGCTGATTCCTCTCTACCTTGTTTCTATGTAAGCGCTTTCAAACATAGTACTAAAACTCTTTCAGAAACATCTCTTGGAAAAAGGCAGAGGAGTCTCTTCTACTTCCAAGTTTAGAGAGTTTTTTCTTTTTAAAGAAATTCACTGGAATCTATGGAAGAAGATCATCCTGAGTAATTTAAGATCCCGTTTAACATCTGTAAGGATGAATCCAACCCAGTGGTTATAAAATAGTGCAAAAAGGATGTACAGCTGTGCAAGTCTGAGTTACTTTGAAATAAACCTTAGTCGAACAGTGGGGTATAAAGGGGCAGAGGGAGAGAGGCAGAAGAAATGTCTGGATTTAGGTTTTGCTCTGTCCTCCCCTGCTCCCCCCCTCTTTCCTGGAGTTTAGTACTCTATACCAAGCAGAAGTAAATTTCCAGTTAGCTCAGAAATAACTCACTTCTGTACGGTAACAAAGAGACTTCTTTTAAAAACCAGACTGGAACAAAGGAAGTTGGTTTCTTGTCAAAGAGTTGGTTGCCTTAATCAAGGCCAAGTGGTATGAATCAAACTACCTTCAGGCCGACCCAGTAACTGGATGGAGATCAGATGATGGACAGATTCTGGCTGAGATTGCTTTTTCTACGAAAAAGGAAGAAAAGGTGCATTTGATATTCACCGGAATCTATGATACAATTTTTAGGACGTTTTTCGAAAAGGATTTTTCTTACTCATTTCCTGCGAGGAAAATTCATGGTCAGCAGGTTCTGTAAAAGCCAAACCGCCCTTTGATTCACACTCAAGGCTTCTGGCTTCCCGAGTAAACGACTAGATCGACTGGATCGTGCCTCCTTTGGTAGGAACAGCCTAGAGAGATGAGGCAGAGGGGTGTCCCAAGTTATAGAAACTGTGACTTGTTTAACTAATTAGACGTTCAATTAATATAAACTGCTCTGATGTGGACGATGCATGTGTGTATGTGTTTGTGTGTAGCACTTCACACATTATTTGAACGGTTTAGGATTTTTTTTCTCCTCTCACCCGATTCCTTAAAGTTGAGTTCAGTCATGAGAAATAGAAACTGAGGGGGCCACCAGCGTCACTAAGTGGATGTCTTTATAGGCTGCCTGGCACACACCTTGTGGGCTGCAGAGAAATGTGGTGCAGGATCCGAAAGGACTTCAGCAAGTTCTCTCACCTTCAACCCCAAAGGTCGTGTTTGCTCCAAAGCAATTCTTTCTGTATCCAGCGTCCCTCCTGCCCGCCTTTCTAGCTATTTCTTCCCTATTAAATCTGCCAAAACTGGCGAATATGTTAGTTAAGAACTAATTATTACCTAACAATTGCTAAGCAAGTAAGCATTTTCTGGGGAAAAGATGCCGTCCCCCTTCCAAGCTGACACATCCAGGCTGCCGTCCAGTTCTTGCCGCGCTCCGAGCTCCTTTCAGATTTCCAGACCCGTCGAGCTCGGAGCACGCCAGAGCCGCCGTCCCGGCGTAGCGGAGGGTATGGCGGCTTTAATCTCGTCAATAGGCGCAGGATGGGCAGCTCCGCTCCAAATCGACGGGCGTGTCATCCGCTCTTGCTTTAGGGATGCCAGCTGCGGAATCCGCCTTTGAACAAAGTTTGCCTGGAATGGTAAAAGTGGTTTATTCTGGCGAGTGAAGAAAAAAGAGGAAAAAGGGAAGCCTGTTTAGAACGTATTACTCGCAAGTCATTTTCTGTGCGTCTGGTTTTCGGACTCGGGATCATAAATTCTAATTTAGGTCTTAAACTCTGATTTCTCAAAGAACGAGAAAATAAAAACAATTGCTGAAATATCCCCGCCCTTGCCGCGGGATAATACATCGTCTACAAATCAGATAAACTTGGTGTTTATTATTTAGAGGAGAGGAGAAAGGCCCGTCTTTGGGCACTCACAGGGCCATCCTTTTCAGGATCCATATGGGGTTTTTTTTGGGGGGGGGGACTGTCATTCTTACTGTTTCAACTGTTTACTTGGCTACTAACCTGGTCCTCTTTCCTTGGTGGAAAAGAATGCTGCCAATTTTAACTGCCTCTCAGATTAGGACCCAAACCCCTCTGTTGCTTATGTTCTGCTCAGGTAACTGAAGATGTGCTAAGACTTGCTTCGTAGGGCAGATGGGATACCCGCCCAGAAATAAATTCCACTCGATTCAGAGATTTAGTTCCCCAGAAGTAAAATTATGGCGGGTTCCTGTGGATTTGTTCTAATTGGACAGGGGTGTAGTATTGCTGCCTTAGAATAGTTATGCGCACCTACTCCAAAGTAAGCATAACGGTTTCCATTGTAGTCATTCTATACCAAATAGGACAAGAATTAAAAGAGAGAGGGACGGAGAGACAGGTGTCAACTTGAAAAGATTTTATCTGCAATCTACTTGGGTGTCCATTCCAGAACACAGGGAAAATGACATTTGAGAGAGAAAAAAGGATGCCAGGATCGGGTCATTTTCAGAATGTCCTCTAGTAGTAACCCAGTTTAAACTTGTTCAAATCAGTCTAAGAGGATCTCTTCATAGACATTTCAAGAAGATCTGCTTCTGGTAAGCAATCTTTTAAAAAAGGTAGTCTAGGGCTTCAGTCCTGAGGGCTTCAGTCTCAAGAAATAAACTTTAGTTGCAGTCCCACAATGGACCTTTCTGAAATCAGCCAACAGTAGCCTTGATCTTTTCAGAGAACAGTCTTCAAATGTGAAGTTATGGAGATCTAAATGTCCTTCTTTCCTATTGAGCATCTTTTTGAATAATGTTGACTTGTCTCATCTGAAGACAATTTGGTTCATTTTTGAATATCTATTTCTGATTAAACTTTGACAAATTCTAGCTCAGGGGTGTCAAATTCAGTTTCATTGAGGGCTGCATCAGCATTGTGATTGCCCTCAGGGGGCTAGGTGGGTATGGCCATGGTGGGTGTGGCCTACTGGGTGAGCATGGATGGAGTGGGTGTGGCCTACTGGGTGGGTGTGGCCAGCTCTACATCGTTCACATCTAGGGTGACTGTGGGGGCCTGGGCAGGAGTGGGATAGATCTGAGGGTCTCTGGCAGAAGGGGGTGGGACCAGGGCAAGTGCCAAGGCATGGTCCACTGGAGGAGCCTCACTGTTCCTCTTAGGTCATGCAGGGCGTGGGGGGGGGGCTTATGGAACTAAGACTGAATGCGTTTCAGCATAGCTGGCCACCACAAAATTGTACATTGGCTCCCAGCTGGCCTGGGCCAGGGCCAAGGCAGAGGGGGTTGTTCTCTCACTGTTTCCAGGATGGCTTTGCGGGCCACATGAAACCACTTCGCGGGCCGTATCCGGCCCCTGGGCCTTGTGTTTGACATGTCTGTTCTAGCTGAATGGGTGCTATTTCATGACACGGTGAGAATGAGGAGAGTCATAATCTAGGATGGCTGTAGAGTAACAAGCACAAAAATATCTGCTGGCTTGAATGCAGCCTTACAACAGATTGCCCCAACCAGTGTTCTTCAATGTTTTGGGTTGCAGCTACCCTAAACCCTGACATTATTCATTATACTGGGGCTCAGAGAGTCTGAAACATCTGCAAGGCATCAATAACCCTGCCCTAGAAATGCCTCAGAAACACCCCCTCTTCTCTGGTGGACAAAATCCTTTAATATCCCAAAGCGGCAGGTGATGAATAAAGCAAAGTGACTTGGAAACATTGGGGGGGGGGGGGAAAGAAAAATGAATTAGTCATTCAAAATCGTCCCCACACAGGAAGTGAATTCTTATACAACAAAATGCTGGAGATGGGTGAGGCAAGATATTGGCACATTCTTCTGCCCAGCGGAAAGAGCTTTTGACCTTCCCATTAATGCCTCCAAAGAGGGAAAATGAGCCCAAGGGAATTATGCAGAGAAAAAATCAGAGCAGCCCAGAAGGATTCTGTTGACTTTCCTTCAATGGGCAGATTCTTTTGGTTGGGAATTCGGGTCTCAGAGCACCATAAGCAAAGATTAAAGATTTCATATGTCTAAAATATGATAATTTGAGAATGGTGATTTGTGACCACTCTGGACTGATTTGTTTTATGAACTATTTGTTTGTTTCCTGGCTAGTCGCAAGATTCTCAAGAGTCTTCTCCAATACCAAAGTTCAAAATTGTCCTACCTTGCTTCTTCGAAGTTCACCTCCATTGTAGCTATTAGAAAATGCAAAGCTTTTGAAATATATACAGTGCAGAGCAATATTTTTGAAACATATTCCATGACTTTCACTAATTCCTATACTAGTAGTAGTCTGCAGCACTATGGTATTTTATGGTATGTTGTGGCTTATATGGACTCTAGCCTAAACTAATTTCTTCCTGAAATAAAGAGCAAAATGTCCTTCTTCTCCTAGTCTCACACAGAACTGCCTGAACTAGCCACTGAATCCTTCAGTACAGTAGGCCACAGTATCATGTACTATGCCCAAATCAGCAGTTTGAGTTAAGAGGCCCAGGGCATATTTTTGTCCCCCTGTTCTGAGGAACAGCTGGGAGCTGGCACTTAGCATTTGCTGTCTGGGACAGCCATCTTATGCTGCTTTACTCTAGTTTGAATGCATAAAAAGGAGAAAAAATTCCAGAGGGTTGACTCTTTTCTGGAGTCTCTGGGGAAATCTTTCACACATGTAATTGATTTGAAAGCTATACATCATAGATAGCACAGTTCATCCTTCCCTTCTCCCCCAGCTCTTCTTTTGACCAATGCTTGTCTGTGTGACCTCTGGCGCTGAGCCATTATGTGCAACTCACTAATGCTCAGGAAATGGCCAATCAGTTTCAGGGATGCAGGTTGTTCTCCTGCCTCCTGGGGCAACAGTCTCTGGAGAGAAGGGGGAGGCAACCACTTTGTCTCTCTTTAAAATGTCACTGGGATTGTAGGAGAACAGGGAAGGTTTGCTTTGCAAAAGCTTGACAGAAACAACCCAAAGAGGTAGAGAGCTACGTGGGCCTGAGCTGAAGGGGCTCAAGTCAGACATAAATCTGGCTACAGCCCAGTCCCTGAATGGACTACAGACAGCTTGACATCCCCTTCAGGAACAGCACCTTTGAAACAATTTATGTTCCAAATATATTACTGAGGGCATAATTTCAAGCAGGAAGAGGGTGCAACGTGCTTCTAAAGGAAAACCAAGAGAGTGCTCATGAACTCTACTTGTTCCCCCTAAGGACAGTTAAAATAGTGTCATAATCATTCTTGAAGGACATGTCCTCATGGCACTGCCTGTTGCATTTTCAGCCCATAGCTGAGTCTGCCTAATTTCATATTTAGCTACTCCAGTATTAAAGTGGCATCTTTTGTCATCTCATGATACAAACCTTGCTCTATGCTTGTTTTCTGGCCTTCCAGCAACGATAATGACACGATCAGGAATCGAGATCTGCCCAGCTCCTACTGGACAATTTTGACTGTAGTACACATGCCATCTCCTCCCCCTGTTAGTCGGGACAGCTTTCTCTGGTCATTTTATTTTTTTTACTGTTGTATTGACAAGAACACCTGGCTACAGGCAGTTGCCCACGTAATGTCTGGCTGGCACTTTCAGAAACACAGACAGACTCCATATAAATTATGTTCATTGATTTTAACTCTCAAGCTTCCTCCTTCCATTATATATTCAAGATGGACATTATTTAATATTTGTTTGCTATGTATATGTAGGGGTGTGGGTCTATACATATGTTGTACATAGTATGTTTAGGTGTGTGTCATGTATGTGTTTCACTTTGAGAGGGGCAACTAAATTTCATTTTTGATGTGTGCCATTGTGCCCACAGTAAAAAAATGAAAATAAAGTTTCTCTTCTCTTCTCTTCTCTTCTCTTCTCTTCTCATCTCATCATCTTATCTTATCTTGTCTTGTCGCACTAGACCTCTTTCAAATTATGTGTTTAGCACTCTTATCATAGAAAGAATGCTAGATTGCTTCTTCTCTCTTTCTCTTTAAAAAAACAACAACACAACAGCATCGATAACATTCCTATGAATATCAGCAGCAAGCCTTCCACAAAATTTTTACTCCTCCAATGCTTCATGTGCTTCCCAAAGCTCTTTCATCAACTGTTGATCATTTAACAATCAAAATGATTTGGAGTTGCGCATATGTCTGTACTACTGTCCTGGAATAACATTAGACATGTTCAGAATCAGACAGCCCATCTTTCCAGAGCATCTCTATGCTGATTGCCTGTCACTCAGACCACAAGTGGACTATTTTGTTCTTTGTGATCACAATGCCACCACTGCCATTAACACTAGGCCACAATGGATGCCTAGAGATAGGGACAAGGAGAAATACTATAAAGTTGTTTCCATGGAAGAAGATTCTGTCTATAGGTTAAGAGAGAGGCTATTCTATTAATGTTTTTCTTAATCTGTTAAGTCTATCAATGATACGTATAAGAGTTAACAGTACTCTTTGTTCCACTTACAAAAATACCGCATACTAATGAAGCATGGATATGTAAAGGGAATAATGCATTTTTGTTCATTTTATTGAATGAGAAATATTGAATATTATGGCAAATATTACATTTATTCTAAGCTGGCCTCA